AATACATAATAAATACTTTTCATTTAGAAAATTAGGGTTTTGCCCTAAACCATGAAAATACCCAAAAATTAACCTTTTTATTTTTGTTTATATGTCACATGAAAAATACTTTTACATACATATAAAAATCATTTTTTGCATCTTGCATATTTATTTTGTTTCATTTAATTATTGTATAATTAAAATAACTTGTATATTCAATTTGGATGTAATAGTTTAGATTTAAATTTCTTGCTAAATATCCCCATTTGAACATTTGTACCCCCCATCCCATAATTATGTTGTAATAATTTAGGACTTTAATTTCCGCATTTTAAAGCTTTCTAATTATACCATGATAGACTTAGGGTTTGTATGCAAATCAAAAATAACAAATAGCTTGACCTAATTCAAAGACAAAAAAGCATGAAAATGGACAACACCAATCACATTTGCACCCCTAGGGTTACTCCACTTGTTGCCTTCAATAATGGGCCATGTTGCATGTTGGGTGTCTTTGGAAAAACAAAACAATTCAAATGATCATAGTCCCTCGATGACGCTTTCGAAAGTTGCCTAAAAATGATCAAGTCCCTTAAAGGAAAAATTGCCCAAAGACACTTGGCACTATTGCATTCATGGTCTAAACGACGACCCGCGCTCGTCCCGTTAACATCCTAACACAAGATTGTCCACCAAATACAATGGTGGAACAAAGTTGTTAAAAGGGTTAAAACATAGGAAAAATCTTTGAGTAAATTTAGGGGTAGACAACTCTTAGTTACTTGATAAACTTGCAAAACATCACAACACACTTTCAAAACAACTTTCAAAAACATTGAAAACTTTTCAAAAGACAAATACACCTTTGTATACATTCAAACATGGATCATTATAAAGGTTGCCACAACAATGGCCTCTTTTCAATACATTTTCAAACCCACACACAAAGCACCATTTCAAACAATTGAAAATGCAAGGCAAGTGATCTAAGCAAGTAACTAAGAGCCCATGGATAACCATGGATAGAAAGGGTGCTAATACCTTCCCTTTCTATAATCTACTCTCCGAACCCAAGAAAATATCTCAAAGGTTTTTGCTGTGCTTTTTAACCTTTCCTTAGGATAAAATAAAAAGTCGGTGGCGACTCTTGCTCAACCGAAACATTTGCGAAAACAAACGCAAAACCCAAGTCAGTTCTCCCACCGTATCACAGTCACCATCCTACTCTTATAGTTCAAACAACAGCTTCTAACCATCTAACTTCACCGTGCTGTACAAAACCAATCTTAACGTCAAACGCAACTTCTGACTAGAACACCTCTAACAACGCAGCTTCTAACCAACCCAACTTCTAGTAATACAACTTCTAATAACGCAACTTCTGGCCGACACAATCTTCTGACTAATACAACTTTTGACTGACCCGATCTTCTGGATAATACAACTTCTGACTAACCCAACCTCTGACAAGATATAACTTCTGATCATCACAGTTTCTGACCAGCCCCATCTTTTGACCAGATACAACTTCTGATCATCACATCTTCTGACTAACCCCATCTTCTGACCAGATGCAACTTCTGATCATCACATCTTCTGACTAACCATCCTCTGGCCAATACAACTTCTGATTAATGCAACTTCTAACATTAGAACTTCTATCTTCTAATAATTAAACGCAACCTCTAACATCGGAATTTCTACCTTTCACTAGGCCACGCAACTTCTAACAACCTACGTCTAGCATCAGAACTGTTATTTCCTATTCATCCTATTGTTCTAATTCTTTTCCTGATATCAACCTAATTAGGAACAATACGCCTAACGCCATCCCTAATTGATTCATCGTTCTAGACAGCAACTTCTGATATCCCCCACGTACGGTTCTGCGTTTTTCACCACTGTAACGTTCTAAGTTTTCATCACTGCAGTATTCTATGTTTTCTTCCCTGCATTCTACTATGGGTTTCATAACTAAAGCCTTAGAACTTAATCTAATCATGATAATTCATCACCCATAATAACCCTATAATCTTATAGCATTTTAACAGTATCGAGACATCAGTATTCATCAAAATTCATCAATCCTCATCATACATCAATCATATATTCTCAATTCAAGAACAAGACAATAATAACCTGTAACCCCACATATCAATAATCATAAACTCAATTATAGAGTTAGAACCCCACCCTTACCTTGGATTGAAGGTCGCTCTACAATTTTCGGTTGAATTCACGTTCTTGCCGTTTTCCACTTTCTCTAGCAGCTTGCACGTCCTCTTCCAAATCCTTATTCCTTCTATTGCTTCTTTATTTCTATTCCTTCTAACAAATAATAAAATAACCCTATTATTCTATTATTCCTTATTGGACTTAAAACCAACGCACCCCCTTATTACTTCTATTCCTTCAAAATAAGCCCACATTAAATAATATTACACTTCTAATATTATTTCACCATATAATATTATATCTCTAATATTATTTCTCCACTTAATAAAATAAATCCAATTAATTATAATACAACTTCTTAAATATTCCAAAAATAATTTAATTAAATAATGAATTAAATTACGGGCGTTACACATACATTGCATTTTGAGATGGAGCTTATGCTCGTTGAGATGGCATGTATTGGCGAATATTGAGATGAAGGCTTACGCCTTGTTGATGCCTCTATTAATTGGCAATTTTTGAGATGTCAGTTCTGCTCCAATGGTACCACATGCATCTGCATAATATTGAGTCACATTATATGATTGCATAAAGAAGTGTGCATTGATGTTGTGAATGTGTATTATTGTTGCGATTATTGTTGATTATGAGATGAGAAGTGGTGATGTTATGTGATCTAATTTAATATATTAATTATCATGCGTTTTTTTATATTGTTAGAAATCTCACCCCTTATGTTTGAATGTTACCCTTACGTTGGTAACGTGCAGGTAATCGAGAGTGAAGGTTGTATACCTTCAGTAGTTCGAGCCGATGTCATTGCTCTGATATGTAACACTCGGGGGGATGAATGCTTGTTGCTTTTGAATGTTGATTATTCAGTTGTTGAACTTTAAGTTGCTTATTATTAAATATGTGTTGTTTCGAAGTTGCTGTAACGATGATAAAGATGTTATTAAGAATTCCGCTGCGTAGATGTTGAATTGTTGAATTATTTAATTAACGTTGTTATGTTGATGGTTCATCCGATGTTTTAAAATGTTATATATCCACGATGAATGCAATAAATTTTGATAGAAGAATTTGTGGCATCCCGATTTGTTTGCATGAATGATTTTTATAACTCTGATTTATTTATATAATTGCCGGGGTAGAATTGGGGTGTTACACTCATCCTCAACTATGTCCGTCTGTCCCATTTTTTTGCGGGTTTTTGCGGGGCGGGTCTAAACGGGATGGACATGCCCGTTTGCCACCCCTAATCAAAACTATTTTGTAATAAGACTAGAATGAATATCGTTGAACTAGAAGAAACAAAAAAAATAAAAAAAAATGAAAATTAATAAAGAACACTTAAACACGAAGAAGAAGAAGACCAAAACATATCAAAAAGACAGTTGCGAAAACAACATTAGTGACAGTCGGCGAGAACAACAGTTTGGTGAGAACATATTTTTATAATTTATGATTTTTATTTTTTATATTTGGAGTTTGATTTTGACTATATATTTTATTAAAAAAAAATAAAAAGTAAATAAATATGAAATACGATTAGTGTGATACAAAATATATAATAATGAAATGAATAAATTATTAAATGGATAAATATAATTATCAGTTTGATTTTTCTGTTTAGGTTCCTATAAACTAAAATTAAAAATCAAATTAAATCAATTCGATTTTTATTGATTCGATTCGATTTTTAAATCAAAAAAAAATTAATTTTTTTCTTCAATTTAATTAGATTTAATTATTGATTTAATCAATTTTTTCTAATCTGATTACATCCATATTAATAGCCGTCTACAAACTTTCAATTGTGTAGGGAACAATTTGAATCTCTGAAATTTTTTATTTAAAAAATTTAAATTTAAATTATTAAACTATTAAACAAAAAAATTAATATGTCTTTTTAATATTAGTTTATACATTGAATGTCTTACCATTGTTCATTAAGATACATGATGAAAGAAATTCAAAAAAACTAAAAGAATAAATAATTTAATGATTAGTTGTTTTCCATATTTGAGACATGATGAAGTATACATTAATGGATAACGATGTCAGCAAAGAATCAAGTTAGCCATGCCATTATTAGTCACGCCGGATTCTTTCATTAATGATTTTTTTTCTTCTTTCTTTCATTGATGATACTTCAATTCAAGTTAGAGAAGATCTTCAAATTTTAAAAGTTGAATATAAAAATGAAAAATTGTTTTACACCTACTTTTAATAAAAAGAATTAAGACTTAATATTTAATTCATCATCTTTACATACAGCGAATTTAAAATAGGCTTTTATAAATAAAAAATCTGGTTAATCAATACCTTCAAGCACTTTTTAAGCATTCCAAAAAAAAAAAATTAAATACACATACACATACTTTCAAAGAAGATTTACTATTTTAAAATGTTAATGAATATCTTGAAATCACATGTTACCATTTTCTAAAAAAAAACATAGATTTCTTTTGATTATTTAAAGATTATCCTATTTTGAACTTTCCATAAAATTACTTAGCAAATTATGTAAGGTGGTGTTGCTATGTTGTCTTTTTTATTTGCTTTCATTTCTTTTTTAGTTAGGTAACTTCCACTTTCTAATTTTTTTTTTCATTTCAAATAATAAAATTTTATTTCATTAAAATTAAATGAAATGAAATTATAACCATGCACATGTCTAACATGCACATGTCTAAGAAAATCCAATCACGTGACTCGTGTACCCTAAAACCATCTGGTTCTCAATTATATAATGCAACTTCAAAATCCAACTTCACTGCAAAAATTCTATAGTAACACACTCCTCATGCTGAACTGAACTGAACTGTCTTTCGCAAATGGATCAACAAGGGTTACCTCGCTTTAAGAAACCCTTCATGTAACTCCTCACTTTGTTTTTTTCTTCTTCTTTCTTTCTATTCTATGCTATTATTTATTTTGAATTTTTTAATCAACCAAACAGTTATGAAAATTGAAACAGTGCAGACGATGAGATAATGGAGCTGCTATGGCAAAACGGTCAAGTTGTCACGCAGAGTCAAAACCAGCGTCATATCAACAACTCACCGCCGGGGAGAAACTCCGACGAGTCCACTCGCGGCCGAACTTCATTGCCGAGGGAGAATCAATATCTGTTCGTGCAAGAAGGAGAAATGGCTCCGGTGCTTCATTATCCTAATAACAATGACGATGTTTCTCCTTTGAATCAACCTTTCAGCGCCGATTTCCTTAATAATGATACCATGCAAACTCCACAAATGAGATCTGAGCAGGTGCCTCCGAACTTCCTTAATAATGGTACCATGCAAGCTCCACAAATGAGGTCAGAGGTGCCCCCGAACTTCGCGTCCTTTGCGAGGCACGGTGTTAGAGCCGAACCAGAAGCGTTACCTGCTGGGGAATCAATAGTAGATTCATGTGATACACCTGAAGTGGCTGAAGGAGAAACCAGCTTGACGGCACCTTCGGCAACTTTTGAGGAAACAGATGGTTGGAGCAGCGATTTAACGGATTATTGGAGTAGCCATGTGGAAATGGAGGAGGACCCCAAGCGGAAGAGAAGGGATGCGGAGGAATGGGAGTATCAAAGCCAGGTGAGTGAGTTAACTCAGCGCTGTTTAGGTTTTCTTTCTCTGTCGCGTCATTTTCAGTATCTCCAGTTGCAAATACCCTAGGATTTGTCGTCCCTACCCGATAACGGCCCCACAAAACAGTTTTGAAAAATGCCGTTACTCCATTTTTATATATTAAAAAATAAATTATAGTTAATTTAACTCGTGGACATTGGAAAATATCAATTTTGAAATTGTTAATAATGTTTTTTATATTAAAAATTAAATTATAATTAATTTATTTCATAATACAACTAATAGTGAAAATAGTAAAATTTTTGATCAATATCACAATACTTGCACCATTTAAAATCGCAAAAAATTTTATACAATTGCAACCGATTTTTAAAACACTAGTGACAAAGTTAAACAAATAAACGGCATTTATAAAATTAAAATAATGGCATTCACCTAACCAGCCATATACCACTTGCCGCTGAATATAGCTACGCCGCGTGTATGGTTAAAATTTAATATGCTTTTTCACGGACGTATGGTAGGACATGCATAATACTCCTTCTATTAAAAAATTGTTTAGAATTTTTGCATACATATTAACAAAATGATAGCTGTGCCATCATTTGCTTTTTACCATATCATTGTTAAAGTTGAATAATACTTACTCTCTCTACTAAAAAATTGTTTAAAATTTTTGCATAGATATTATCAAAATGACAGTTATGCCATTGTCTTTAATGGAATTAAACAATAGGTCGATTTTATCGATTTCGGATCTAAAATTTAAATTCGACATTAATCACGATTTCATTTTTAAGATTTGATTTCGACTAAAAAAATTTCAAATTTCAACGGATTCGATTAAATCGATTTAATGGATAAGTCAGATAAATTTAATCGAGTTATATTTATTAGAGTAAACGTATAAAAATAGTTCAGTTTTTATAAAATTCGCACATTTACTTTTTTTTTATTTAAAAAAAAACTATAAAAATTTTGAAATATCTAATTAATAAATATTTTTTATTATTAAATAAAAAATTATTATTTTAAAATAATATTTTCAATATGATTTCACATTAATTTTGATCATTATCATACTTTAAACTACAAATTAAATAATTTTCAAAAAATTTATATTACATGTATTGTATTCTTGTGAATACACTATACTACTATTAAATTCTAAAAATAATAATAAACAAAATATTATAAATTTCATTTTTATAATATCGGACCTATAATAATAAAAATAAATGGTTGTATACAAACAAATATATGTGAGGTACCAAAATGAAGTTGAAAATAAATCCTTGCCTTTCTTTACCTTGCTCAAATATTAGGATTTGAGAATTGCTCTTGGCTGGTATGGCGAACTTTAAATTTGTAGTAGGCTGAAGGTGTTATGGTTGAAAAAGTTGGCTGTTGGCTTTATTTCTAACGAGGATTTGGTGGCTGCATGATCTTGTGATCACTGTGAAAGCTGCATTTTGCATAAACATGGTTCTTAACATAGACAAAGTAATTAGGCTTTCATAATGCTACGTCCGAGTCACCTGGCCGGTCTAAAGTTCTCTGAATGCATATTCTGTTCAATGCAAAAGTTCTATAAATATGAAACATTTAGAAAATGTATTATGCATGGTACATGGTTTCTGCTGGTGAAACATTTCTCACCCTTATATGAATTGATAGACTAACTTAGTGGTCAGAAAAGGTGTAGGCATTATTATGAATGAGAACGGTAGACTAGGTAAGTAATGTTAACGAACAAATACATGTACTGAAACATAAAACAAGTGATGCAGTATATTTCCCCCAATTTGTACAAATTAATTTCATTTGCAACCTTTATATTTGTATTTCTATTTGTCTTGGATGTTGATTTTGAATCTCATGCTGAGGTCAATAGTCTCTCAGAGAGGGTCTGTTGTTGTCCAAACATTTCTTTGAGTTCACATATTTTATGCCGTTTATTTAACTTGAAAGTTGTCACTTTGCATTACATCCAGAGGCGCCGTGATCTAATTAATGAAAAAATGAGAGTTCTGCAACAACTTATACCTCGATCTAATAAGGTAAGCCGACTTTTTAGATTTACCAGTTCTTTGTTGATAATATAAGAGGCATGATTTAAGATTTCGCTTCCTTCTTAATTTATGTTTCTAATCTTTCTCCTACTATTAATTCATAGTTTGACGAAGAGTCTATCCTCGACGAGGCAATTGAGTACATGAAGTCACTGCAGTTACAAGTTCAGGTAGATTCCTCTACGTATTTCTGATCTTTACAAAAGGTCATGCCACTATTGTAGCAAGCAAGTTGGTCATGTTGTTTCATTTCTTAAATAGAGAATACAATGTATGCAGATGATGTCAATGGAATGCAGCATGGTACCAATGATGTTTCCTGGAACCCAGCGGTATATGCCACCACCAATTGGAATGGGAATAAACAGGCCAGTAATGCCGTTTCCCAATATGTTTTCTGGTTCTGCTTTGCCTGCAAATTTTGGACCAAGGTTCGCCATGCCTCCTTTCCACACGCCGTATGTTCCTACACCTGATTCATTCACAATGCCAGCAGCAAATCTGGCAGATAATAACATGCCCACCTCAGTTGGAACACATAACTCAAATCAGCTAGGCATCCCAAACTTCACTGATCCTTATCAACAATACCTTGGACCCTACCAGATGCAGTTTCAGTTAATGCAGGTATTTTGTCCTCTAATGCTATTTCAGGTTAACAATTTTTTAAATAATGTGTGAATTAACTTTTGCACATGAGACCCGTTGGAAAATTACAATGATGTAAATGTTTATGAGTCCATTTCCATGTGTAGAATCAGGCAATGAACCAAACAAATGTCAGCAAGTGAGAAGGCGGCCGCCAGTCAGGTAAATGCTTATTAGTTAGTATTTTTGTGTCGGATTTGGTTAGCTTAGGTGAAAATAAAAGATTGGTTTATTATTTTGGGTCTTAATGATTTTTATATATGGCTTAACGTGTTCCTGTGTTGTTTACCACCGAATGAAGTCTTCTATTTTCCAGAAACAGTTTACCTTCAATTCAAATTTGTATTGAATCCCTATAATATGATATCAAAATTGGCTGCTTCTAACTATCTCAACTTTTTTTCTTGATGCTGTTCAGGAGATAAATGATTATTTGATAGTTACAATCAAGGGCTTCCATATATGGCGCTGCTTCTTATTTGTTACCACTTACCGCTAGCTATCAAAATGGTACTACTAGTATTATTGTAAGTCTCGAATATGCTATATTTACTACTAGTGTTATTGTAAGTCTCGAATATGCTCTATATGTACTACTAGTATTAATGTAAGTCCCAAATATGTTATATGTACTACTAGTATTATTGTAAGTCTCGAATACTATATATGTACTATTAATATTATTGTAAGTCCCGGAAGTATTACACCGCTAATATTATATTATTGTAACTTATTTATCTCTTGTTTTTTTGTCTTTCCTCGTTGACACTTTTTCTTTTTACAAAATAATTTGGTAGGCTTATAATAGGTTAAAGTGTCCATCAATTACACTCTATATATATAAATGTAACTGTTAAAATAGTGAAAATAATTTACAACTGTTTTATTCGTTAATAATTTGTGAATCTGTCTCGATATATTTAGATAAGAGTTAGGTTATTATTTTATTTTAGCGCCTTTATGGAGTCCCGATTGGTCATGCTATGTATTTTAGGATTTTTTATTGTAATTTTAATAACTATCTCTTGTTGTTTACTTAATTCAATCTTAAAATGTTTAGAAGTTAATTAAGTTGGTGGTTTGGCAAGATATAATTAATAGTATGATTGATTATTAATTAGAAATTAGTTGGGAGTGTGACCTTGTATAAAGGATGCAACTCACATTACATTCAATTAAGCCTAATTGAATGCAACTCACCACTTTGATCTCTCTCAATTCATCTCATTATTCTCTCTCAACTCATCTCATTATTTCTCTTTCCCTCATTTCTTGTAGAGCAAGAAAGCCTTTGCTTTAACATATTTAGAATTTTGAACCCTATTCTTTTTTTTTCATAAATTAATATTTTATTGCAATAGTACATTTTATACTGTAATAGAAGGCAAACAAGAAATAAGATGTGTCGCTACTCTTGTTTGGATGGTAAAATCAATTCTCTTTAAAAGTACATTCATAAATCTTGGAAATACAACATTGCTATTCATATGTTTTCGGACTCTCAGCAAAAAATCAATTGCTTTTGGGGATAGGAAACCAAAAGTGTCGAAGAAAAATACTATGAAATCATGTTGATTATAACGTTTTTTTTCTTTCATGTTTGTTCACTTTACTTAAAGCGACTTTGAGAGTTTTCTATTCTATAGTAAAACCTCAAATCTACAATCCCACTAATGGAGGAACTCCAGTCAAATCCACACAAGCATGTTTTCCTCCTACCCACCCATACACTAGAATATTTATTGGCCTAAATTTCAATCTCCTTTCATATGGGTCAGTCAAGAAATTCAAATGTGTCTCTTTATTAAGAGATACTTTGCTTTGCTAAAATATATGAAACAATACATCCCTAATAAGATCATGTTGGTATTTGAAGCATGGAAGCTCCCTACAATGAATTGCGTGTTCTTCAAATGTATCCAAACACACCTTATGACAAATAGGTCAAACTTCATCAATAGAAAATAAAGGAATTATAAAGAAGTATCCTAGTGTTGGCGGTAGAATTGTTCAAGACTAAGCCATTGGGTTGACTAGACTTATACAAATCAAAATAAAAATCGCCGCCGCGCTTTATTGTTTCCAAAAGAATGGGAAAAGAGAGAATAACGCAAAAAGAATGAGAAAGATTCTAGGTAAGGGGGTTGGTTATGCAAAGGGAAGGTATTATCACCCTAAACATCTACGGTACTCCGCAGGAACCTCTTTGAAAAATCTGTATATTTTGGCTATGAAAAATATTCTATAAAATAATGGTAGAGGTGGGAAAAGAAACACATTTTTTATGATTTTTGCACCCGCCGCGGTTGCGAACCTTTAGTGCCTACGTACCATCTTTTCGTGCAATAGGGGGATCAGGGTACACGTAGTTCCTCTTTTAAAAATTTTAAAACACAAATGTGTTGGTCAATTTTATGAGATAAAATATCATCGTCATTGTCCGTGTGGAAAACATACCTACTATCCACAATCATGAGAAAGGAGAATTTGCGTCATCTCAAAGTGGAGGATATGGCTTAGATTTTAAAATCAACAATGCCTCACTCAACACCCAAGTGGAAAATATCTCTCTTTGCTACATATTGTAGAAGTATAGTTGTTTGCATCACTACAAGGATTGATAAGAGTTCAATCTTTTGAGAAAAGTTTAAAGATAAAAGCCAAAGTGGAAAAATGGTTTGAAATGAGATTAATTGACTTTTAGTCTTCTCACAAAAATGTCAAAGTATTGTTAAGTTTATTGGAGTTTATTTATGAAAATATTTGAAAATGCATGGACCTAAGTCCAAGTTTATTATAAAAGTAATTCAAGTTTAAAACAAGAAGAGTTTTCAAAAGGGGGGAGAATATTTTTGAAATTAAAGAAGATGGGAGGAGAAGAAGAGGCTATCCTAAAGCACAAGGTAAAAGCTAGGGATAATAACCATCTGACCAACAAGAAGCCAGTACTTGACATTATGAGCCAAAATAGAATTCCCATTCTTTGGATTGAAACCAAACAAGCAAATGATACTAGACCTCTTGAGAGAACCAAACTTCAATTGTATTAAGTCTTCACAAAAATTGGGTAGAGTAACGGCTGTATACGGGTGAATTCCAGATTACAAACAAAAGGTGTAATCACAATAACCTGCACACAAAACAAACAAACAACTCAATGTCTTAAGGTAAACCTCAAGAGCTCCAGACAAAATAATCAGATAAGATCACAAAGTCTCCACTCACAGGCCAAAGTTTCTAATCCTAAGTCCAAAAAGTCCAATGCTCCATAATGCCAAGGATAGTAACCAAATAGTTCAAGTATCATTAAAGATTTTTAGGATTTATGTTGATTATTAGGTGTCTTTAAAAGAAAATAAAAGCTCAAGTGAGCAAATAAAAAAAATAAAAAATGACAAGAATATAAGGGGCTCAAGTGAGCAAAGATGAAAAATAGCATGAAATATAATGCTAAAAGTAAATGGTGTATAAAGTAAAAACATAAAATAAAAACACAAAATAAAATCAATTATTAGTGATTAGTGGTTAGTTGGATGATCATCTTGAAACTTGCATTTGGAACTCATTAGAGGATTGGTAGAACCAAAGCCTCCACACAACAAGTTGTATTTGCTTTTTGTCAAATATATCATCCATTTGGAATCCTTATGAGTATCATTTAATGATCAACAATGTTTAAGTGATCCGCGTTGACCAAAGGTGTTGTAGATTCATTAGAGGATTGATAGAACCAAAGTCTTCACACAATGAATCTCAAGGTTATTGGATCAAAGAGATCAAATTAACATACTTGGGCTTGCAAACATAAGTTTGGGCCATGAATGATCATTTATTTGAATCGGGACAAAATTTAGCGCTATGTTAAGCAATCGTAAGTGGACTTATATAAAAGTCGCACCTTTTTGAAGCCGGTCAATAGCAATCTATGCACCATTTGTTTTGAGACATGATATAGAGATAATGCTCCAACAACATTTAATGCAATAAGAAGGGGATGAGATGAAGAAGGATGAGAGAGAATATACAAACCACTTTTAGATTAAATTTAATCAAACTATTATTAAAATAATTCATCCATTTTTGTAGAGTTAGACTCAACACCATGGATCCAATGATGTTAATAAAGTTCATGATAAAAAATTTAACCTAAGATCAGCCAGAAAATAATCACAAAATAATATTACATTTTAATATATACAAAAAGGTTTAAAAATAATATTTAAAAATAGAAATAAAAGAGAAAAAATATCAACTATGTTCAAATTAATCAGGAAATAAAAAGTAAGACCATAGAAAAATCAGAAATGAACTAAAATAATTATATAAATTTTTTGGTAATTTTTTAAAGTCAGAAACTATTTTAAAATTTAAAGAAACGGGTGAAATAAACCAAAAAATGAAAAAAAAATAGCAAAGTAAGAAACAAAAATAAAATAAGGTTACCAATAGTTGTCACAATATCATTGGATCATTCCATAATTTTTTGAGAATTTAAAAATGCATAAAAGTATTTTTAAACATTTAAAACAATTCCAATAAAGTGTAAATTTATTAAAAAAAAACCAAAACACAAAATTAAATTGTAAAAAAATAAAAATCAGAAAGAGAATAATCAAAAATATTTTTCATTATTTTTTTCAGATTTTTTGGACTAAAAATGAATTTTCTATGATTTTTTGAAGTTTAAAACAATTAAATATAAAAAATCAGAAAATAAAATAAAAGTAAAAAATATGTGGACCGTTGGATGAGAGTCAAAACGCGTTAGTAATCAAATCAAAGGGATCTGGCGCGCTGTGCATATCATGGTTATTAGTGAATAAAACACTGAATCAGAAATAAAACCAGAATTCAAAAATAACAAGTGGCGTGCCATCATTGGTTGGAAGATGACACATTGGTCATCTTCAACCTCCAGCCAACGTGAATTCCAGGTCTCTCAAACTGTAAAATCAGAAGCTCAGACCTATGCCATTCACTTTGTCTCTTCAAGACAAAGACAACCACACCCTCGCGCCAAATTTATATAAACTGTAACTCAAGCAATTTGGAAAGAAAGTTGTGAAAAGGGATTTGAAATTTCATGGTCAAAATGTGTTTCCAGTAAAAAGAAAGTGTTGCAACTAGAACCATGGCAATGAGAGCATCACAATGATATCAAACTTTTGAAGAATTGATGAAGGAATCTACCTATTGAAGTTGAGTTGCAGAGCTCTGAAACTGGACTTCTATGGAGCAATATAGGACACGATTCTTGAATATAATTATATGGTTAGCTTCAGGGAAGATCAAGGAAGGTGAGTTGATGAAAAAATTGGATTGAAAAAGGCTTGAGAATGGATTTCGAAGTTGCTGAATTATGAGTTAGGGAACAAGTTTGGCAGAGTGATTCTATCTATCCAAGCTTGAGAAAACGAATGGGATA